GTTTTCTCTTGTTTGGTGGGTGTGTCAGAAATGCCAGCATGTATATAAACCACGCGGTATTAAAGACACAGCTCGCATAATGTAATTAACATCAGAATAAATTCACAAGAGCAAGTATATTGCTTGCACATGCTTTTTTTACATTAAAGGCAAAATAACTGAAATAATAAGAGCACATGCATAGATCTGGAACTTCTTTAAGTCTGTCTAAATATAATTTAGTAATTGCAATGGTCCATATCCTTTCCTTAGGAAGGTGTGCTAGACACTGATTAATAATGTAACATAAAAATACTATACATATTTATATATTTTGCTATTGCATTGTGGAGTGACACTTTCATAAACTTTTCTATACTCTCCCGATTATGTAATGGTAAATATTACAATATCATAGCACAACAACAGTGATCAGCAATAAGCCTAATACTTGCAATGAAAATAATAAGGTCATATAGATCCTAACACAGTCTCGGAGGTAAGAAGAGGATGATCCTTCACCTGAAAGGTTTCTTTTCATCCTGAAATGTGAGGCAAATGTTGGATCACAATAATTAGGAACCACAGTCTTAGGAACTTTCACTCAACGTTCTCTTTTATTCTGGAGGGCGAGGGCAGTGACTGTAACATCGAGCGTATTTTGCAGTATTAAACACGTATTTATGCCGATTTCATCAGGCTCCGAAAATTCTCCGAAAAAAAAAGAACACAAAGAATGGCCTTCTCAGCTGCCGTAGCTGCAACTCTTGCGTCATCAGAACAGTGTTTAACGCACCACCGTTTCCGTTTAAAACACGTTTTGCACCGTTTTGTCGGTGTGTGTGTGTGTGAGAGTGTGTGTGTGCTTATATATTCAGTATTTTATCCATGGACATTTTTTTAGAGGGCATTTTCCCACTAATCTCATTAATAATTTCATTTCAAATTCTTACATTTCATCTATAAATTCAATTATAATAATGTGATTATCTATACGTTATCAAATTAAATAATATTATGAGATTATTTTAAATATTTTTGAATATACAAACAAGAAATGATGGTGGAAATGATACTTTTCAACGAAATTAAAACGCCAGTAGGTGCCAGTAGTGAGTGAGTCATTGAGTCGTTCATTCAAACGATTCGTTCAAACGGCAGATTCATCAGATGTTAATGCGTGGGCTAATGAAACTTTGATTAAACCGATTCGTTCAAAACACGGAATCAATCAGCAATGAATCGTCTGGTTGCTGTGAGATGCGCTGTGTTCTGCCTAAAATGTAAGTGACCTAATATTATTGTATTTGCTTATTGATGTCGTAATGGTGAAAACGTTGTTTGATGTTGCCTAACTAACTGCATTTTAAATATAAAAACTTTCCATTTTGAATGTTTACCTCAGCTCAGCCCGGATGGCCCCGGCCCAATTTAAACCCTATATATATATATATAAAGATTAATTTAGTCAACTTTTAGAATTCCAAGAAATGGACCATGGGTATTTAGATCTACTTTAGGTCATTTTCTGAGGATTAAAATAATTTTTATTATTCACGTCTTTCACACAGATTGGAGTTGGGTGGTATATTTTCCTAATATTCAATTGAAGCAGCAATCTGACGTTTGAGGGGTGCAGCTCGTTTTTCTCGCTTTTAACTGCTCTGAAAATCACACTCGGCTCTCTTCGTTTGTAAAAGATTCGAAGCCGGGCTTTAAAACACGGTCCTGCCAGCACAAGCCCGTTTTTCCCCCGTTCTCTGTTGGTATAAACCCGTTCGTGTTTATTTAAACGGAAAGCTTTTTCATGGCAATCCACGGAACCGTGTTGAAAACCAATCGGCTCACACTACTTCATTTCTGTCTGAGGCGCTACGCTTCCCGCCTCACAGGATGGTGGCACGCAGAGGCGGGAAATCCTCTGAACCAATAATAATTGGTCATTTTCATGGCTCGGCAGCAGCCGCTCATCTACATTGTACAGACGTTTCCCACGCTTGCGGGCCGATTGATTTCCCTGCTGGTTGAGTTATTTGTCCGATCCAGTTCGCTCGGACAGCGCGAGAACTTCGGTTCTGACTCGAGTCATGGGTTTCTTCTTCCCACCAACAAACCGCAGCCAGTGCGGCCGTTAAATGACTCTGCTGAGTTTGAAAATCAGCCGTTGGTTTGCGCGGCAATTAGGTCATTTAAATAACACACATCGAAGACTCGAGAAAAGCACATCGTCTGTTCTTTTTACTCTTAAGTTCAGAGTTTAAGTGTGTTTTAACATCAAAGAAACGCTCAGACTTTCCACCATGACGGCTCCATTCTCTCTCCGTCTCGTTCCCACACTCTGATAGTGTTTTACAGGTGGCTTTTCATTCCCTGCTGATTATTTATCCTGCTTTCCTCCACAGAAGTCCTGCCAGCTCTGAAATAACGCCCGAGGCCTGTGTGTTGTCTCTGACAACAGCTGATCATTAGTCTGAAATACAGCCATGGCCTTTGAAACCAGCTCAGCTCCTTCACTGAGTTCTAGTAGGTTTAGTCTTTCGCAGGATTTGTGTTCTGGAAAACGCTCAAAAGTCAGACATGACCGATGGATTTTGAGGACGCTTCATGATTTTCCAGGATGGCTGTGCCGAACCGCTTTTTTTGTTTTGGCATGCGGTGTACCGAAAGTCACCGAAATGCAATTCGAAACTCGAAACTACTCAACATTGGCTGGTGTTGTCTACGAGTGTTTCAGCTGAAATCTTTGAGAAAACGTTATATGTTGCTCGGAAACAAAACACCAGGCATCTAAAAAAGATGTCACACTTCCATTATGAATCAGATGTTCCTCAAATTAAGAATAACAATAAATCTAAATGAGATTATAGTCAGTCCAGAGCTGATATGATTGATGTAAACATGTTTGAGTCGAATGTGAGGAGCTGCAACTAAAACCCATTTTGTTAAATCTAAAACCAAATTGAAGAAAGATTATAGACCCTAAGTACAGTAAGAATAGCTTTAAAATAACATGGTCGTTTGACGAGAAATGTTTGAGTTCATAATGCGATCTCTGACTTTTGATCGCAAGCTTTAGTTATCTTGGCAAATTATGGCAGTTCTAGTATTCTTGATGTGTAAATACTATGGTAATCTATTATCATGGCATTACATCTGACAGCACCTCTGTAGCACAAATGCAACATGAGACATTGTTGAGATCTCTTTTGAAACTAGAGGAGAAACGTGAGATTAGTGGGGTCTTTTTCTCAGGAGAAGTATCCGAGAAGTAGGAGACTAGCAAAGGTCTCAATGCTCTTCATTTTTATTTTGCTGATGCAACGCAGTGAAGCACATGGGCTTGTAGGAGATTTAATGTGATTTGCCGAATGTGAGGCACTGCAACAAACTCATTTTTGGTAAACTAAAACCAAATGAAAGAAAGACTATAGACCGTAATGAGTTACTAGTCAAAATACAGTAATAATACAGTACACTCTTAAAAATAAAGGTGCTTCACGGTGCCATAGAAGAACCTTTTTGTCTAAACGGTTCCATAAAGAAGCTTTAACATCTGAAGAACCTTTCTGTTTCACAAAAGCTTCTTTGTGGCCAAAGAAGGTTCTTCAGATTATACAAAGGTAAGAAAGAGATGTTCTTTAAAGAACCTTTGACTGAATGATTCTTTGTGGAACCAAAAATGGTTTTTCTATGGCATCGCTTGAAGAACCCTTTGAAGCATCTTTATTTTTAAGTGTGATAATACTTTAAAATATCATGAAAGCCAGATTAGATAATTTGGCCATTGAATAATATGATGAGTTCATAATTAATTTTGATCACAAAAATGAGTTATCTTGGCAAATCTGGTCTGAGCATCATGAGATATTGTTGAGGTCTCTTTTGAAAGAGGAGACACATTTGAGAAGCAATAGACTCTGTTTTTATTTCACTGATGCAACACAGTTAATAATCAGGGCTATTAGGAGCTCTAATGTGATGTGTTTTTGGAGCAAATGTGTGGTTTATTATAAATGTCATTGAGTCTAGTGTGTGTGTGGTCTGACCGTACCGCGTTCCCAGCGCTCTTACATGGCTTTAAACTCA